GTCCTTCAGAGTGTGAGCTAACGTTTCTGCATGAGTCTCCTCACAGCAGTTGAAGGCGGTGATGGAAAAGTGGACATGGTCCTCCTGGGGGTTGTAACAAATGGCGTAACCATCAGGAACAAGGGGCCCGAAACACATCACACTATCTGTGTTTGCAGGCACCTGAAGGGACAAGGAGGAGGAGAACATGAGCTAATGTACAGGAAAAGTTACTAACAGTGTGCAGTGTTTTTCCGATATCTAATATAATATAGCAGCAATGTGTCTCAATGTGGCACATTACTTGAAACAAAACTTTAAATGTGAACAAAACTTCAGTAATTGTGTCAAATGAATGAATTCAGAGTTGACAGAATTAGTCATTTGATCAATTTGATGGACAAAAGATTCATCTGCAACAATTCTGACAAATGTTAACTAAAAAGATTTACTAGTTCCAGCTCCTCCGATATTAAGGTTTCCTGCTTTTTGTGGCCTCATAATAAAATAAATGTCTTTTGGTTCAGACCAGCTGTTCAGACAAAACAAGCTGTTGAAGATGTCAGTTTGGACTGGGAGCCATTTCTGACAAGGACTAATAGACCAAAATCAATAATCAATAATGAAATTAAACGTTAGTTTCAGCCCTAAAAGATAACAGAACATAAACATATCACTCCACATCACCCAGCTCTGCAGATACTATTTACTACTCAATTATAGTTCAGTGGTTTCCACAATTAATTAACAAACTTTGGATCATTATTAATAGTATAATGTCATCACTAGTTTTACCAAAATAAAATGGATGACTATTTTGCAAATAGACACTGGTCTCCACCAGAGGTGTAGCGCGATTTGATGAAGTATCAATCACCACACCTTAAATTTTATTATCACAACCTAGAGCGTTCCATTTTGCAGGACATACACTTTACTGATGATTGGATCTTCAAGCGCTCACAATAATGCAAAGCAGAGCGTTGTTCCAGTGCGTTCCGGCAGCACTACACCTATGGTCTCTAACACCTAACCTAACAATTCAAATCTACCGACAATCCTTCTTAAACTGGGTTAAATGGGACAGATGATTAAATCATTTAAAATAAGATCATATCAAAGCTTTGGAGGTGCTAATTAATCTGCACCGCAAGAAAAGTGTTGATTGTGGTGTCACTGCATGTAGAGTAAATCTACATTACTCACTGGGTGTTGATTTAGATCAGGAGTGATTCACCAGACTAAGAAAGGGTGCACTGTGCAAAAAAAGGGTAATAACATAAAATGTGTCTTATAAAACCAGTAAATTTAAACTGCACTATAAACACCCATGTGTGCTTTTGCTGCTGAAAATCAGGAGCAAATAACCTACAAGACATTCACTTTAGAAAAAAGAGGAAAGGAGCACTGGAGCTGCTGGAAACTCCCAAAATGCATTATGCAGAAGTAAAAGAGCCACAAAGTCACATGCTCCAACCACAGGGAAACTGGTAGTAGAAAACCTCCCTTCATATTTTCACAGCTGGGCTACTGGACCATAGGTTTTTTCCACAAATATCTTCTGTAAACCAAATATCTAACCAGAAAAGACACACTCTCAAAGAGAAACACACCTGCCCTGTTCGCAGTTTCCAGTGTGTTGCCAGTCCATATGCTGTATCCATGAAGATTTTGGGAATGCTCATTCCTTCCTCGATGGCTTGCAGCTTGAGCCCCAGAAGGTGGCGGTCGATACCATGTCCGTTTAGAGTCTCCACAGAGCCAGAAAAAACACACACACACACACAAGATAAGTGTTTATCAGTTAAAAACAAAAAAACTGTCAAGCTTGTTCACTTGGTATTTACCCGATTAGTCAGGGCTGAATAAGCATCGACAGCTTCTCTGAACAGCTGCAGTTTTGCCTCCCGCTGCAACACAAAAATAATACACATTATTTACAAGCTAAACCAAACGAAATAAAATCTGTGGAACGGTTCCCCAGTCTTTCCCACAGACTTACGTTCTAATTGTGGCAGTAGTTTTGGAGAGTCACGCTATCAAAAAATTTTTTTTTTATTAAATATAGTAATGCTACAGTGCCGTGGTGCTGTTCATCTGACCTCCCCCTTCTGCACTAGCTCTCCCACAGCAGCAACATGTCGGCTGCTGCCCTCCTCCTACATCTCTCTCTTCCTGACCACCTATTTTGAGCCTACTGTAAATAAATATGTGGGAGTCAAAGTGGTGGCCCACTACAAATAAATCAGTGTATGGGAAACACCGCGGTTCCCCGCCGAGATCGAGTTTCTCACCGACACAGATGGATCATCAAAGGCCAGTATGAACTGGAGCGTCTGGTTTGTTGGTGAGCGGATATATTCTGTCCTTCCTCCTCGAAACATCCTCTGAGAGGCAATATCACAGGCCGGACAGACCTCATTGTGGACTCTGAGGAAAAAAAAATACAAGGATTAGGACAGATCTAAAGACATGATACTGTCATGTTCAGTCTACTAAAGTGACCTTATTTCAAGACAAACCACAAAAATACAGAAAGATTCCCTCTTTATCTGTGATAATAAATCCACCGGTCCTGGGATCTCTGCTGTTCAGTAGTGGATTCTTATTCATGTAAATGCCAGGGACTATTTTTAAATATGGATTAATTCACAAGTCTTTTCAGGAACAAGACTGTGCATGCAGAACTCAATCAAAATTACCAGAAGAGCCTAAGTTCATCATGCATGAAGAAACCTGTCACTCACATGGCTCATGTGTGATTTTGGACAATGTACAGTAGGTGTATGATCTGTGGCCTGTAGTTGTGCTTTAAACCACCTGTCAGGACAGTTACAACTGCACTAACATGACCTGCTGCGGGGAACATCATCATCATCATCATCATACCCTTTCTGTTTGCAGACACACAAACTGCAGCCTCCAAAGAGCTGGATCAACACTTCCCTGAAACAGCTTCAACAATAACTGAACACAATCACGTTCAGGAGAACTGCAGAACTGTTCAGGCTGTATTGTCGCTGCCACTGACCTGTAGTACGCGAGCTGCAGGGCAACCTGGATGAAGCTGTTTGGACTCAGGTTGTGCTTCTTGGGAAGCTCCTTGCCAAACCTCTTGAAGTTGAACACGTTGACGTCGAGGTCATTGATCAGTCTGCAGGAAATTTAAAATATAATTTTGCTTTTGTGATAATACTGTTTAAACTCAAGTTTGACTTATTAGGCTCTTCTAAAACTTTAGGCCATTCCTCTAATTTACAACAAATTAAGCTGCTCAGGTGTCATCATGCAACCTAACAGGTGGAGATTTTAAGTCCCCATATTTAGTATTATCTGTTTATATACCAACCTACACTTACAAATATATTAATAAACATTTATATCTGCTTATCACTACATTACTGCGTGTTGTAAGCCATTTATTTGCATTCATGCATGTCAACCTTCTTTGTTTAGTTTTTGGCACCTGAGTGATTTAATAGTGCTCTGAAATAATGCAACAGCTTATCAGATCTTTGTGTTTGGGTTGCAGTCAGGAAAGGGATACGAAAAGGTTTTTTGTCAAGGTTACGGTCAGACAGAGAAGATACTCCTGTGGCTTTCCTTCAGGCCAAGTTGACTTCAGATTAGTTTGATTTCCAAAGCAAACATCCAGCTGATACTGGGCAGAGACGTAAATGTTCACAACACCCTGTCCACAGGAATAAGTGAGAGAACTGAGCTCTTACATGTCGAGGTTCTGCTTGGCCGTCTCAATGCCGCTTTTGATGTTTCGGTCTATGTTAAAGTAAAGCTTCTTGGGCATCGGCAGAGGGATGAGTGGCGCTCTCTTTGTGTCTGGGTTCTCGCTACAGTCAAGAGAGCACAAAGCAATCATACGTGGAAATGCAAGATGTACAGTGTAAATCCAGCCGTTTTCACCCCATGTTCTATTACAAAGATCAATTTTATTTCTTCACTACAGAGATAATCATTATGTATTTTGGTTGCCTGTGTTTACAGCTGGTTTGTCATGAGTCATTTAAGCTCTAGCACAGCCATGGTAACTCTGTCACTGCCCTGTGGCCTGTTGTTCCAGTGGTTTTCCATGAGCCGCTGTGGACTGAAGCGTCCACCAAATGTCCACCAGGTGAAGAGCTATGGGAGATTTTGGAGTGAGGGAATATCTTTTGGAAGAATGCTGTCCATCCCTCCAGTAGAGCTCAGAGACCTGTAGAATCAGTGCCAAGGTGCACTGAAGCTGTTCTGGTGGCACGTGTTGGCCCAAAACCTTATTTAATCAAGTAATTTAGTCATCTGTCTGTCAAATGAACAACATCGGCTCCAGTCAAAGGAGTGTTTTCAGAGGCTTTGTTTGGCTCTTATCTGATTGGCTCATAGCACAACTATACGGCAGTCAACAAAGATAAACCAAGAACCACATTACAGTGGCATGGTGAGACAGGTATACCATTTCTATGCCACCAAATTCATCGTGTGACATTTGGTGCTTGATGGGTGGTAAATTTAGACCCAATGTATGAAATTATTCAAACAAAAAAACTATAAAACATCAGGAAAAGGCTCTCTCTCTCTCTTCATTATCCCTTTAACTCACCAGTATTGCAGAATATGATCCAGCAGCGTTGCTATGGGTGGGCCCTCAGCTGTGGCTGCTTCATACAGGAGACCCCAGGAGCCATCCTCGCCCACCACAAACTGTCCACACAGACAACAGTTAGTCTAGCTACTGTATAAGATATATCCTAACCTTTCCTTGTTGCATGCGAGTATTCCTACTCACCTGCAGCGTCTTGTCAAACCAGCGGTTGCCGCTGTTGGAGAACGTCCCGCCCCCGTGGAGAATCTGCGCTGCTTTACGGCTCGCATACCTGACAGTCAAAGTTGGAACACAGAGGAAGAACTTACTAAAAAATATATATTAAAAGGCCTCAAAAGATATTTCATTCATTAAAAATGTCAGACATTTAAATGCAGAGCTGAAATGATTCATCGATCGATGATTTTTAGCTCTCCTGTTCAGCAAAGATACCAAATGGCTCCGGCTTCTCCAGTGTCAGGGTTTGCCACTTTTACCAGTGTAGTAAACTTAATACCTTTGGGTTTTGGACTATTGGTTGAACACCAGAATCTATGTGAAGACATCACCTTGGGCTCTATTATTATGTTTTATAGCTCAAATAATGAACTGATACATTGAAAAAACAACCAGCAGACTAAGTGATAATGTAAAATAATCATTAGTTAGTTGCAGCCCCATTCAAATCTAACTGTATAACATTCTTTAGATACAAAGCTGCCAACCAGTAGCAAAGAGGATCACATTTCAGAAATGGTATATTTTTAGTTAGGACCGTGTCAACAGACGGCACAGTGATAGCGAAGGGTTCCCCAACTCATTCAGCTAACATAGAAATACCTGCCTGTGGATTATGAGACGTTGTCAGATTATAAAGGGGTGGGTTATGTGTGTGCGTGTTCGTGCATACTTCTCATCGGATATCCTCATGACTGGAGAATCCAGACACAAGGAGAAAAGGCCCGTCTCTATCTGCCGCACTGATTCCTTGTTTAGTTTGTCTGAGTCACACACACAGAGCATGGAAACAGACAGACAATAAAAACATTTTCAAATGTCAAGATCAAATTAAGTGTCGCATCTCAAACACAAATCTGTGACACAGTCATTCAGACAAACTTGGCTGCTAAGGGCTTTTATTGGATTTATTATTATTGGAGAGAAGAGCAACAAGCGTGAAAACTCTCCCATGTTAAAAAATACAGCATCCTAGATTTGAAAGGGAGCTGCTTAAAGGTTCATAATCTGCGCTGATCTACCTGTGAGCAGGTGGTTGTAGATCCGTCCCCAGGTGTGACGGTGCTCGCTGGTCAGGATGCCCATCGGCTCCTTGTCCGTCTTCCAGGACTGAGACCTGATCCTCAGGAGCTGGCTATGGATCTGACTCTCCATCATCCGAGAGCCGTCGCTGTTGTAAACGTCCAGAAGCGAGAGAAAAAAGCAGAGACCACCCCCCCCCCCATCAGTTTCAATCAATTAGTCGTTATTATTATTATTATATTAATACCACTGTAAACTGAATATCTTTGGACTATTGATCAGACAAAATGAGATTTGGGCAGGGAAAAGCTGCAATGAGCATTTGACATTATATATAGAGAGAAAATATTCTGCAGATCAACTGTTAATAGTTATAAATGAATCTCAGGGTTGATATGGAGCAGTGGATGGTATCACAGGCCCATGTGTCACTGCTATTTGAAAACAGGAAGTAATGATTATTTTAACTAGGTTAGTTGATCTGAACTCATGATATCAGTGACAAACAAACAAAACTGTAGGTGTGACTGCACAAGACCCATCATGTTTGTTGTTGTGTAATTCACAATCCTAAACAGGTGATAAATGATGCTGAATCAACAAGAGAGAAACATCTGCCGGCACATCCTACCTGGTAGTTCCTGACCACCGTAATGTGCGTTGGCGAGCGTCGGGCGTGACCATAGGGGGCGATGAGGTCGTGTTTGGGACCGGGGATCCTGCAGGAGGAGAAGAGGAGCGGGTACAGCTCCATGCACAGAGGCTTCCCTCGCATGTACTCGACTGGTAGCTGGCCGCTGACAATGACAGGAAGAAGGGGAGAGGATGCGACTTTTAACCGAATCCAAGAGAGCAGCTGAGTGTTTCTGCTTGTGTGTCGATGAAGGAAGAAGTAGAGTTCTTGAGTAAATGTTTAGTACCTTTCAGCCACATTTGTATGCATGCAGAGAGAGGAACCGTTCAGAAGTTTGGGCATAATAAGTGGAGATAAAAGGTTTTATGAAGTACAAAATACTCCAGGTTATCCTGCTTAGTGTGGGTTTTATACTGCAATAGATGACAGTACTATCATAAATGTCCAGCTGTGGTAAACTAACAGACAAGTCTGAAACAGAGACAGCTGAGTAGTGGGCTGTTACAGTGTGGCCAAATAAATTTAGACACAGATGAACCCGATACCGCAGAGAAACACGAGGTGGCGACAGACGGGCTAAAGCATTAAGCACTGAAACAGAAGCTAGTGAAAGAGACAGAGGATCAGTGGAGCATTTGAACAGCTGAGCAAGCAGTTTATAGTTACTAACCAGCTTATGATTGTAGCAGATAACTGCTGGCAACTGCTTTAGTTTGTTACCGAGTTTATTACTGAACAGCTTGAACGGTTTGTGTGTCTAAGTACATTTACTCAAGGACAGTACTTAAGTACAACTTCTAGGTTCTTGAGTGTTTCCATTTTATGGCACTTTGTACTTTTACTCCACTACATTTCAGAGGAAAATAGTACAGCTTTTACTCCTCTATTTTCAACTTTTCCCATATTTTGCCAATTATTTTTCATCTGAATCAAACAGGATCATTGCTCAGTGGGAAAAAAATCTACCTGTTATGTAGTGAAGCCTGTAAAGTAAAAAAACAAAAAAACAAAAAGTGCCAGTGTAGTAGCAAAATTGCAACCTGTTTTTAATTTGTGTCAAAAATGTTCTAAAAACAAGTAGTTTTTTTTTTAATTGAAAACAGATACAACATAAGGTTATTAGGACTCAATGATAGACACAGATATCTGTCTAGAACATGGAGGTTTCTGCAGAAATAAACAGTCAAACAATTAACAAAGTAGTTAAAATGCAACATAAATGCAGATTAATACACAAGCAATAATAATCCTACACTATATATACACTGTATAATACTGTGAAGTGTACATTACATATATTCTTACAATATATCTGCATTTTTACTTGAGAAATCCAACATTTTTACAATGAAGTATTACTACAGTACTTTTACTGAAGTAAAGGATCTAAATTCATTCAGTTAACAGACACTTTACCTCTGTTAGCTCGTTTTTTGCTTCAAGCCCAGTCACACATCTGAGACTTACGTGTTGATTTTGGCCTTGAAGTCCAGAACTGCTGTGATCAGTTTGGATGCAAACCTACAATAAGTGGAGACAAAACATGTTGTGGTCAGTATTTTACTGATACACAGTCAGAGGTCAGAGATTTCTGATGTTCAGCTGCCGAGAGCTCCTCCATGGCTGGAAACTGGTCTAGCTGTGCTCTGAAAATATCCCTTCAACAAGCAGTTGATTTAAATGTTTCCTAGTATAAAAGCATTTAACCAGCTACAGTATGAGTGGCTCCCCTGCTGCGTCACTGTTGGTGCGGTATATCAGTGTTGACTCACACCAGCTGGCTCCTCCAGTCGTTATAATCTCTCCTGGGAAGAGAGATGGCCGGGCTTGAGTGCACAGGCAGCGGCAGTCTGCTCTCCAAGAACGCCCACTGCACCCACCAGTCTGAGATCTGTACACAGGGTACAACAGATATTCAAGCTCTAAATCTCATGGCTGCAACAAAACCACAGTGGTGACGTGTGAGATCCTGCATAAATTCATGGTTGAGAAGCTGAGATTGAGAATTTCTAGTATTTTTGCTTTAATATATCAACTTCAATTTACCAACAATTCAATTCAGCTCTAAACTGAAATGTTTGTCTAAGCTTATCAACATTTTCTAAATGTTTACATGTAATTATGTGTTTTTGGTGGGATTTCTTTGAAGACCTGTTGCTTTCACAGGCTAATTTACTAAAAAAAAACTTAAAAACACAGAGCATGTTTAATCATTTGGTGTCTGACACCAAAACAAAGCAGTGTTTTGTTTTGGAACCCCGTATATTTGATATGCCCTTAACCATCTCTAACATCTGCCCCATTCTACACATGGATCCCACAGACACACACCCAGTTCTTGGTGTGTCTGGCTCTCTTCTCCAGCCCCTCCTGCAGCTGTGCACCTAGGCCTCCCGGCTTGCCAAACTCCTGCACCATCTTGTGGGTGTGCCTGAGCTCCTCAGAGGGCAGCAGGGGCTCCAGAGCATTCAGGTAGCCCTGCAGGGTCTGCGCCAGAGGGGGCACCGGCTGTGGGGGCACAGAGTAGAAGAAACACAGCTCCTGCTTCAAGGAAACCTACAGGGAGAGAGAGAGAGAGAGAGAGAGAGAGAAAATTACATATTTCTGCACGACTGAAAGAAAGGCATCTTGTTTTGCACCAACACAGTTATTGAGGCCATGATCAAGTCAAACTAGAACGCTTCTGAAGCCATTTTGAGTGTGCCATAATAAGTATGGGAAACAAAAATAGTGTTGTAAGGCTAATCATTAACTTGAAAGTGTGATAATAGTGTGGTTACAGTGGCTCTGCATGCCAGCACCGCAATGACTTCATGGGTTTGACAAAATGCCAATAAAAAGCAAGGCACGACTAGGGTGTATCAAAATAGGAAGTGTGAAAGATACGGGTGTGGAAACGTGATCCTCTGCCTCTTGGTCGATTAACAGCACTGTTGCTATAATAAATACACTGCATGTGAGACTACAGGCCCATGTGTCAAGAGTATACAACTCTAAAAAACTGAAAACCGCTCACCCGAGTCAGCCATGCTCTGCAGGTTCCTGGTTGAATTTTCCTCAAAATCATGTCTCCTTAACTCACAAATCCACACCGTGTTGCATCTGTGTTACAAAGGGCAGCTTTGAGTTTATGTTCTGATAGTTTTTGCACAGACTCCACAGGGTCAGATCGTCAAAACGAAGCCCTGTCCTTCTCCTACTACTTCTCCACGGCGCATGTAGACGAGGCTCCTCATCGCTCGACAGATCCTAGTTTGAAACGTCTGTGTGAGAGGTAAAGGCGACGATTTTCGATGTAATCCTTCTAACTGCGAACATGCAAAGATTCACGTACCAAGTGCGCCTGAAACAATACTCAAGCACACGTGTTGACGTAAAACTGTTTCCGTAAACAGCTACGTGACTCGAAACCTCGTGTAAAACCGCATTTGGCCACAGCGTGTCGCTGTGACGTCTCACGACAGCGCTTAGTGCTGTCACACCGTTTGTAACGGTGCGCAGACTTGTTTTGTTTGCTAGAAGCCGCCATATTGGTACGGGGACACCACGCCTGCTGTTAATGCCTGATGTAGGCTAAAATTTACAAGAGATTAGTGGGGACAGCTTTAAATCGCCATAACTGTATAGCCCATATATTGGATGCCTTAACTGCCCGGTACTGTGGAGAGAACTTTTAATATTTGCAATTATAATAACGTGCATCAAAGGCGTGTCTGTAAAGCTGGGGAATGGAGAATGACAGCACAGAAAAGAAAACTCAGAATTATTTATTGGATTTTTTTTCTTTTGAAGTCTGCTTTTTAAACTATCATAGAAAAACATATTTACAAAGAATTTGCACAATGTAAATCTTCTTTTCCCAAAATAAAATATTAATGTACAAACAAGAAATATGCTGTATAGATGATATTATAAATGCAATACAGCCAAAAGTCAGATAGCAGCTGTAATATGCCAAAGTTAATCATTAATAAGTATTTGAATTGTATAAACTCTTCCTCTTCTCAGGAACCTACACACATACAACCCTCTCCATTTCCACATTACAAAAATAATAAAATCATACCTTTATTTAAATTCAAACACATTAACTGGACTGTTACCAGACTTGTCACTGTGAACACTAGGGCTTAGTAAAACCCACAAAAAACACAGACCTGTATGCCTCACACATTGCACTCAAAAGCAGTTCCTGCAACATCCAACATAACACCCACATTCTGAAGGTTTTTCTGAACGCCCCAAGATTTTAAAAAATCAAATACCCAACCGATCTTCATATCATCTGTATGGGCAAATCCAGCAGGCACATGAAATCAGATGATACAAGCATCTCTCTTCTGTGCTAAGGCAATACTAACCTGAATTTAGAAGCTAACATAGAAGAAACTATATATTAACAACAAAATAATATTGCATAGACAAGTGATCCTTCATCGCCCAACAGTGCACACAGTTGAGAACATTCTATATAATTTGTACCATTCTGTTACATTCGCATTTGTCCCTCAGTTTCCCTGATGATAAAACTAGGTGATATTTCCCTAGTAAACATGATTATGTTCATTTTTTGCAACTGCATAAATCTAATTGTAGACTACTAAACATTTCTTTCACATTACTCATTCATTTTGATGCTAAATAAAGCAAAACATCATAATAATAACACTCACTTCAATGTTCAATTCAAAAACACAAAATAAAAATCAGGTAATATAGTTGAACAAAATGTTGGTGATCTCATCACATGGGCAATTTTGGCGAAGACCGAAGGCAAGACTCATCTGGAAGAAACAGAGATGGAGATGGGATGTAAATAAAGAGAATCTAGGTTTTTTTATTCAATTTTATTTTTTATGTTTGGATCTAACTTCTTCCCATTCACCAACGGTGATATTTATGGTTTTGTGAGAACCATGAACGTAACTTCATACTATTCAATTTGTGCTCCAAAAATCATTAGTTTTACCAAATGTATCATTTCATTTTATCCATTTAAAACCAATGTTGTATGGAATTTTTTGTTTTTACTATTTCGCCCTGTGGAACTTGACCACATTGCTAAACCTGCTACTAAAAACGGTCAGTTTGTCTATTTCAAGGACGAGCCTGGTCACATTAGTATTTACAATGGCCAAATTTTGCAATAAAATAAATCTATTCCACTGGAAATGTCAAACTCAGGGGATTTTCTCAAGGGAGTAAAGTCAATCTGTGTAATTTTTCATGTATAGTTCAACTTGATGAACATCTGCATGCAAATGTGTGATGTGGACAAATAGCAAACCTTTCAAGGAAAAAGGAGCCGGGGAGTCCAGATTGGAGGACCTATTGCACTTTTAGCTGTTTTGCACCCTTATTTTATTTAACCTCATCTGTCAGAACTGCTGCACATTACAGGAATGAGTTGTAGAGTTATGTTTTATCTCTCTGTGTACAGATCGTATGCATTTTAATGCCTTATGAGACAGAAGTTAAGGGTACACGTACATGTTTTGAACAAACTTGTTCCATTA